TTCTCAAAGGACGTACATCAGCACCGGGCACGGCCCTTCAGCAGCAGAGCACACAGCCAGATCAGAAACAGTGATTTTTATTTCCCTTTTTGAGTGTGTGGCTTTTATGCCAAGAACAACTGTGTTAACCCTCTCAGCAGTAATGCAAGCTTGAGAGGTGGTTAATCATGCGTCACCCTGTATGGATCCTTCATTTCCTGTTTGGAAAGTATGCCATAGCTAACTTGATTTTTTGGGATGTAGTCTTGGGTTTGTGCTACCTAAATGTACTTACTTGTAGTTTACTGAGGAGCTTGGGTTGCTTTGCACCTTCTTTCTGTCCTCTTTGTTCTTATCCTCTTGTCCTGTTTTTCTGCAGTCAATCTTCAGGAGGAAGGAGTTTGGATTTTTCCACTCATCGATGGAAATAGAGTTTAGGGCAGAGATCTGTTTCCTGAGACAGACCTGTAGGAAAACACTTTCAAGTGATTTCCTATTTACAATTCCCAGTTAGACATGTTGGCTCATTATTTTTTAAACGCATTTAATGTGTGCCATGTTAATTTTGGTTTAGTCAATTAATAAGCAGTAACAAATCAAGTGCTTTGTGGAAGACCCGAGTACATCAATGCTATTAAATCAACATTCTTAAAATCTATAAGTCAAACTTGTAATCTCATCCAGAAGGATGTCAGTTTAGTTTGACAAAATCTATTTTCCATAGATCTAATTTGATTGACATTGATTTTTATTACCTCTCTCTAATTCTTTATTATTAGAGTCCAGTACTGAATATTCTGTAATTTTGCCTTGCTCGGCATTAGACTGATGGACCTCAAATTACTTGGTTCATCCAGCTCTCCCTTTTTGAATTTCAATGCAAAATTGTTTCCTGCAAGCTTCTGGAATTTGTTCAGCACTGTAAGAATTACTGAAAATAGCAAGAGAGCCATTTGTGCCCTTTTTTGGAGTGTATTCTATGCAAGTAATCCAGATCATCTCATTTAAACGTGTAGAATTTTAGGAGCTCCTGTTATAACATCCACCTGCGTTGCTAGTTAGTACTTTATGTAGCTTTTTCAGGTGTACATAACACATCTGTTTTCTTTGCGCTGTTACTATCTGCTACTGAGTCAGCACGAGTGTTGAGGGATCTTTTTTCAGTAATCTAAAAAATAAAAGAAGCTTTTGTAAGTCTGACCTTTACAAGCCAGAGATTTTGAGGGATTTTGTTTTTAATTATTTTTCTTTCTCTGTTTCCATCTATTTTTCAGTTCTAACTTACATTGGTTCTATCTGTTCTCACTTTATCTCTTAATTTAAATATTGAATTGGCTTGCAAAGGCAGGTACAGGTCTTCAGCTGGCACCACCTTTTACATAGTTGCAAGTTTTAGTGTGTGGGTAAATGTCATAAATGGGATGTATTGATTTTCCCATATCCTTTCTTGTGATTTATTTTAATCTTGGTGATTTTCAGCCCTGAAATGGAGCCTGCTGAAATACAAAATGTGTACATTACTGGCTTTGCTTTCCGTGTGTTTAAGACTGTCAAGTCCATGATAATTTTTAGCCCTGTTATTGCTCACTTTTAGACCTGTTCTTTACCAGCTCATAGGAAGTCCGCTATGCATCTTCTGCAAGCTAGATAAAACATTCAGAAAGAGCAATGGTGGTAGTGACACAACAAGGTGTTGTTTTAGGATCATCTAGAAATATCTCTTGCCTGCCCTACTGAATCACAGCATGCAGTGAACTTACTGGATTCCAAATCACAGAAAATATTTACTATTTACGGTGCTGTTCCTGGGAAGTGTAGCATGGGAATGAACTTCAGTGTCTGTGTGGGATCCCACTGAGAGGTCCAGCTGCTTGCTTCATGCTGCCAGATTGCGTCCAAAGAAATGTTACCCTTTTTGAATACATGCAGTAAGAGTACATGATGAAAAAAAACCCCAAAGTTCCTACCGCTTCACCATATTCGAGAACAAATCCTTCATTCTCTACCAATTTTTAGTTCTTTTGTATCTGGAGCCTGTTTTGTCTGCCATAAGGTGTATTGCTCTTGAGAGTAATTTGAACATAGTATTTTTAGCCGGATATATATTTTCTTGGTTCTTTAGCTGTAAATGTTTAACACACTAAAACTTTACGATGTCTGCCAGCAGTCGTAATGCTCTTCACAAATTACTGTTTTTCTGGGTTTATTTTCTTTTCTTTTCAGATTTTTTTTTTTTGGAGAGCGATGGGAGATGGTGTTTGTCTCCATTAAATGATGGTGTTGAGGGGAGATGCTTGAAAATACAAAATAAAACAAATTGCATCCCTGGAGTGGCAAGATCTTGAAAGATTTTCTTCCTTCGGCTTTACTTGTACAAAGTAAGATGTATGGCAGAAAGCAGCAACTGGAATTTCCTGATTGAATCAATTGCACCAAGGTTTCACTTGACTGCAAAGGGTGTGGGGTTTGGGTTTCAAGATAAAAGGGTTTTTTTTCTTGAATTAATACAAACTTGGTGCTCAGGGTGCTGAGTAGACCCACCTCTTCTTGTGAGCATATAATACAGCCAACATATTAATATATTTGATATGAAATCAGGACCAGATTCTGCAGACATACGTACAGACAGCTGTGCTCATGTTGGTATTCCTTGTCCTTCACCGTGGAGAAAATACTTGGTTCCAGTTGGTAGTGAGAATCGGAGATGATGGTATCTAAATAACTTGAATAGTCTTACTAGAGAACTCCAAAGAAAGGAGTTTGTGGAATTTTCTTACCGTTCTTTTCTTCTGTTGCCATTACTTTTCTTCCCTCTAGCTTGTGTTGTTGGTGGGTTTGTTCTCAATGGTCTCTTCCATGCAAAAGTATACACAGAAGTGAGAATGTTTCTTGAAGAGATGATTTAAAATCATTATATATGCTGTAGAGGTTGGTCAGTCCATGTACCTTGAGAGTAACGGTGGCTGGACATGGAAGCCCATGTTCAGACAGACTGACATAAATCCCAGGGCTTGTCACCTACTCCTGTTAACTACGTACCACTGAAGGTCTATAGATGGTTATGGGGAAAAGTAGGGACACGAACTCAGGTTATCCAAGCCCTGATCTTGGGGCTTTCTCTTTCTTCCTCCGTAAAAGAGGTTAATTTCCTGGAGAATGGCTTCCTTCTGCCTAAGACTGTTTAGGATTCAACATATTAAGGATTTGATGTGTTCAGAGGCACGGGGATTGGGGCTGTATAAAATATCTGGGTAGACAAGAAGAGGAAGGCATGGCATCGAAAGTATCTTTACAGTGTTTCTGCTCCAGGCTTTGTGCTCAGTCAGACTTCAGCTCCTTCTTGGTTAATGTCGTGTAACTGGGTAAGAATATTCTTGTGGAGATTAATTCAGCTCTCCAGGAAGACTAGAGACTAGATACGTTTTAATACTTGCTTCTGAAGTTAAATTGATTGGATGGAATTGCTCCCTGGATATATTGTAGGTTAAAACTGCCATTTTTTTTTTTTCCTTAACGCCTGCATGTGGGCATTTTAGGCATGAATTGCAGTGTTCCCATGGATTTTTAAGGTCTTCCATTGCATAGTTTGCAGCTTTTAGCACTTTGATCTGATTTCGTACGACAGAAGTGCTCCCTGTATTTGTGTTGCAGCAAATGCTGTATTTCTGGTGGTGTCTGACTTTGAGAAACACACAGATGCTTTTTTGTAGTCCAGGAGACAAAGAAACAAAGCTTTGTGCTCAGGAGGCAGGATCTGTGCCTCCAGGGTACATCAAGGCACTTGGTGTGCAGCTGCTTTCCCAACCTCCACTTTCTCCTGGTGAGCAGGAGCTGGGTCGCTTTTTGCTGCTCCTGCAGATAGGAATCTTCTTCAAGTGCTGTCTTTCTCCTTGGGAGGGTTGAGGAGGAGCACGTTTGAAATACAGGACTCTTTGCTTGCCTGCCTGGGCTTGCTTTATTCTTGAAATTTGATTATCTGTGCATGTGTGTAAGTTTATGTGCCTTTAAAAAAACCCATAAGAATTGCTGCGTTTTCCAAATGTGCAAAATAACTTCAGTAGGAGGCTCAAGAAGGGATCTGGAAGCGGCTGTCTGTCACATTGCATTAATAGAATTGATGCTACTTGAGAATCAGGGAAAGGTGCCTCTCTGGTGTGGGTTCTCGCAGCCCATTGCAGACCCACAGCTCGGTCGCTGCACTTGGGAGCATGAGTGTCTCTTGTGCCAGCAGCATGGTCTGTCCGGCTCCCTGTTACTTATTCCAGATATTAACCAGGTCTTTTCTTTCTCCTGCAAACACAAACACAGAGCTCACTAGTAAAACAGAAGCTGTTGAAATGATTTTGGCTGCTAAAGTGGGCTCCTGCCATCCTGTGTGCAGCAGCAGTTGTACTGTTTTAGTTTTGCTGTCATCCCTAATACATGGAGGAAAGCTTTAATGCAGTCTCTTATCCTGCTGCAATTTGATCTGTCCTTTCTCTTCCTATTTACTGGCTGCTCACTGAGCAGTAAAAGAGGATGTAAAGGTGGTTGCTTTTCTCAGTCAGCTGCTTCAAGGTTAGTGTTAAAGTGCTGTTTCCTAATTTTTGCATTTTAAACACAAAATTACTTATGAACAGGGGCGCAAAATTGTGTGTATTATCGTTTTTAAGAGGTGGCCTCATTACTGTTCTGGCAGGGCAGCCAGTTACTTTTATTAGGAACTATTATACAAAGCTGTTCCACAATTCTGCTGCTCTTAAGCCTCATCCACACTTCTCAATAAAATCCAGGGGAAGTCAGGGTGGGTGCTTGTTCCTTCTTGTTTCTAATGCAGGATCTTCAGAGCAGCAGTTTAAAATTCTTATATTGGATTCTACTGTATTAAGGAGCTAATGAAATGGTAAAGAATGGCATAGAAGCCATAGGGGAAATGAGGGATGAAACGGTAAGTGTAAGAACATTGTGTTCCCACGCTTGGAAGCTGTTCCTGTGCTTAAAAATACTGAGTTGTTCTTTCTTTTTCTCTTGTGTTTCAACAGGGCAGAGTTTAGGATATGGATTCGTTAACTATATTGATCCAAAGGATGCAGAGAAAGCCATTAACACTTTAAATGGACTCAGACTCCAGACCAAAACCATAAAGGTAAGACAACATAAAACAACTTTTGCTCAATTCAGGAAGAGGAGAAAGTAGTTGAAAGAAAATTTCTGGCAATTTCATCACTACTTTCATCTCTATTGTTAGGGCAACTAACAAGCTCCTCCTTGGAGCAATGGGAGGACATGCGGAAGATGAAATCTCTCTTTGAAATTGCTGCTATTGTTCAAGGGGGAAAAGTAACAGGAAGCTTCTTAAATCATTGCAGTGAGGCTTAAATGTGGAATAAAACTGCTGTAGTGATACTGTTAGCCATAAACAGAGGTGAAGTAGGTGACAAGTATTCGACACATTTTCTTATGTTCTGATGGGAAGCACCCTAACATGGAGCTCTCTTTTAGGGACACTTATGTCACTTAGGTGTTGAAAGTATGTTTCTATCAAGTTAAAATACATCATTCTCAATAAAATCCCAAACAAAAAAACAACAACAAAAATTCTCACATCCTTCGTTTAGTTTGATTTATTCTTTTTGAAGCGGGAGGCTTTAGAGATCCCACTGAACTCTCTCATTTCATTGTTGTAATAGACCATTAGTTATTCAACGACCTTGTTTAGTGGTCTCACAAGAACAGCAAGTTTCTACACTGTCACGTTTTGTGCTGCATGGCTGATGAAGCTTTTTTGAAACAGCTTATGGAAGATTTCCACATCCCAAATTCTGACAACTAATACAGCGTAAGGAATGCGAATCAAAAAATGGAAGAGGAGCAAACAGCAGATCTGATTCAAATTATCTGAAACTGCTTTGATCATATTTGAATGCTGGCTTTCGATTTCTACCATTTTCTTAATTTTTATTCTGCACTTAAGCTCTGTTCCAAAGCCAAAAATGTTAAAGAATATAAAAAGAGAAATTTTATTTCTGAAAAAACTGGTAATTTCGTACCTTGCAAAAAAAGGATACTGTATGGTCAGTGCTTCAGTTGTACTTACCCTTTCTCAGTCAAGATTTCGGTTAGGATGAAGTGGTGTTCCCTAAAGAAAAAAGATCCTGTGCATCTCTAAGGATTATTTCAAGCAAGTTCTCCCTTGATCTGTTTGATTAGTGGGGAGCAAAAGTCAGGAGTTGAATGTTACGCAAGTGGTGGAGTGGCTGCATGGATTACATAGAGAAGGTTTTTTCCAAACCTCCCTTGGACAAACGAGGTTACATCCTGTAGATATGTATGTGGGCCACATATCAAAATGCTCACAGTGTGGTTTTGTAGAGTCAAAGAGAAAAACTTACAGGAGTAGGTAAGGCAAAGCAGCAAAATCTACTGTCTTATCTACTGCTGCAGGTGGCAATACATTGCTTGGACTCAGCAGTTCCCGCTCACAGTGAAAAGTTGAGCAGTAAGTTGCTTTCCAAATTGCTTTTAAAGGCACATTATCAGGAAAAAACATAGTATTTTGAAAGTACTAACCTGTCTTTTAAATACTTTATTAAAAACTGAGTAGAACTTGAAAAATTTAGACCAGATTTTAATGCAGCACTTTCATATTTTGACCATTATTCAGTGTTAGCGAAGGCACTACATTTCTTGTCCTAAGCACTTACGTAGCTTTGCCTCTATGTTTTTTTTGTGAGCCAGAGAAATGCTATTATATTCATAAGATTCCAAGGTTACAGAAAACATAACCTACAAAAAGGCCTCCAAAAACTTCTTTTTTTTTTTTCCCTAATTCAGTATATATTTTACAAATACAAGTGCTTTAGGGTTTTCATGCTTATTATTAGCCAGTAGAGTTTCATAGAACACATGACATTTTGTTGCGCTCTTGAAAGCTGTTTAATAATAAGCAAAGAAATTGACCTAACTGACATGCACAGGAGCAGCATAATTTCTTCAGTGATTGGGAAGACGTGTGTACAAAATTGTGAAAACAAAATTGTTTTCAGGTAAGTGTTTATGCAGCTGCCTAAAACCAACCCAAGGGTGCCTTTTATTCAAATAGCAAAGCTCTGGACACATGGACATCTAACTAGCAGTTTCCAACCCAATTTTTAATTGCAGAATTGCATGTGATTACCTCCCCTTAGCCCTTTGGGGTTCTTTTTGTATTTTTAATTATGTTTTGCTCTTGGAAACCTTCATAAATTAGGTCTGGTACTGTGTGATGGGGATGGAGGTTTCCCGATGTTCATGCTGAGCAGTGAATCATGCGGGTTTGCTGCTCCTGGCAGCATCCATGTCGCTGGAGATGTCCCTGGTTTCCAAAAGGTTCCAAAGCAAGGAGAAATCGTGCTCTGCACTGCTGAAGTCTCCTAGCTCGCCTGTTGCCCCCCACACACCCTTTTCCAGCATCTCACTGTGATTCATTATAAGGTTGAAGTATTTTAATTCGTGGAATTACTATATGTAATTACCAGAGCAGATTACTTTAGCTAGATGCCCTTTACAGTTATTAAAAATGCACTTTTGGTGCATTAAAAAAGCCTGTCTCAAAAGAACATATAGGAAGGGATTTGGTGGCATATAGTTCTGTAGGCTGAAAAATATTAAATACTAGAATAACATTGAGCTGGAAAAGTACCGAGCATTACTTTACTCTGTTTTTTTCTCGAGTGTGGTTAGGTTTTATGTCCTAGAATGAATCTGTGATGTCCTGTTGATGGATAGGCTGAACCTTGGCCTCTGCCCGCATACACTGCGTAGCTGCAGCCCTGCAGGTAGTGTTTCTCAGCCTACCTTTTGTTTGGAAGGTATTTTTGATGGAAAGTTGAAATGAATAATCTGTGAAAGCCCTTTTACTTTACAGGGCAAATTACTTGTGTTTGCCAAGGTCACCTTGGCCGTGCTGGCTGTGTCCATCTCCTTGCTCAAATAGTCATGAGCTCTGCTGTTGCTTGCACCTAGACTGAACATGGGCTGGCGCTGGGGCATCAGATTTGCACTCGTTTTTGACCCCACAGGGCTTAATTCGTGTTTAAATATATATATATTCTACATGTGTCCTCAAATCCTATACTTTTCACTTCTGTAACATTTTCGTGGCAGCTTAATGTTCTCTCTCTCCTGATGCCTTGCAAAACAGCCATGCAGTCACAGGAGGAACTGGTTTTACAGCAGGATCAGCAAAACATCTAGGCACAGCCTGCTCTCAGATGTGCGGACTAAAATAACTCCAGAAATGTTCTTTTTATTATTTCATTGTTACAATAAATAATCCCTTTTCAGTGCAGCAGCAAAAATATTTATGTGCAGTTTATTGAAGTCAGTGACGCCCGTTCAAGTCAAAGTTGAGAGATGACTATTTACAGAATACCTGTTTGGGGAAAGCATTGAAGGAAGTCTTATGCATTTGGTCGTAATAGGTGGTACACGTTATGTTCCTCCTCAGCTGATCATAGTGCATCTCTTATTTACGCCATTTCGTAGCAGCAGCAGCATTTTGTGAGGGAGAAAGGCTTCACTTTATTTTTACAGCTAAAGCTTGACATAATTCAACAAAACAGCTTAGAATGAGGGAAGATACAGCCTGCGTTGAAATAAATATATATTCCAGAAATTTAATCTATTTTTAGAAATTAAATTTGCCCATCCATAAAAGCATATGAAAGGTCACTGCTGCTGTTGAAGATTGCCTGGCAATTCAGTTGCAAATATCAGAAGCAAAATAAGAAGTGTGATGCATGGGGTACAGATTGTTTCAACTGCACTGCTTTGCCCTGGAAAAAGGACGATGACTGAAAGGATGCGAAGGAAGCGTTACATGGGGATTCAGGTGACCTGGCTTCGTGTTGGGGGACGCTGGAACAAGGGTGAAACAGAGTTTTGAAAGGAAGTTTGAAATCTAAAAACAGCCGGTGATCCCCTGAAGTGCAGTTTTGTGTCCCATCTCCTTCCTTTTCTCTGTTGCCTGAGAAATAGGTATTTTTTCCTTTCTTCTCTGGCAGGAGCAGGCAGAATGCGATGACACTGGCGGAGCAAAGGGAGAAGTCTCTGGTGAGGGGAGAATGAATCTGGGTTCTCTGAGCCCTTGATGCTTTCCAGTTTTTAAATCCATCAGATCTATCAGATGTTGTGTTCAAGGCCAAGTTGGACGGGGCGTGAAGCAACCTGGTCTGGTGGAAGGTATTCCTGCCCATGGCAGGGGGTCAGAACTGGATGAGCTTTAAGGTCCCTTCCAACCCAAATCGTTCTATGATAAAATACCGAACAGATAGGATTATTTCTGTCTGGTCTGAGGCTTTCTCTAATTCTTCTAGTTTTCAGTTAGTAAGTAACATGGAATATAGCTACTGCTGTTTAAACACTTCTGATTGTTGAAAGTGTTTATTTCTGCTTTATTCTCCCATTTTGATCAATAGGATTGGATGGTCCTAGTTCAATATACAAGCGAGTAGGGCTGTGGGAGAAAGTACTCAAGAGTTTTCTGGAAATGAAGTAGTAACATTGCTGCTCAAAGATCTTGCTATTTATCTTGGTCTCTCAGGCGTTTTTCGAAATGCCAGATATTTCTACAAGATTCAGGCTCTAAATCTGTCCATGTTAATTCTTGTAATTGTCCGCAAAAAGACAAACTATCTTGTCACTGTAGGGTAACCAAATAACAGCAACCTCAGAGTTCTCCATTGTACAAAGTCATTTGTCAAAAAGATTGCCTTCCAGTCACGCTCAGCAGGGAAGGAGGCATGGGAAGCATCAGACAGAGAAGGAGGAAGGCTGCGGCAGCAAGCGGTGGGGAAGAGAGGCATCTTCTGCACCCCATCCCAAACTGCTTGGGATGTCACAGAGAGGGCTTAGGTGTTCTGTGAGGGAGATGAGGTGGAGGGTTTGGGGGGTGGAAAATACTGGGAGGAGCTGAACATGTGGGATGTGGCAATGAGGGATTTGCATTTTCAAGTTGCCCCATGTATGCAGTTGCTTTGGGCCCCCCATGTGTACAGGGACACAGTGTGATGTCTGATGTCGGCCTTCAGACGTCATCTGCCTTCACATGTCCTTGGCTGCGTTTTCCCCCAGGTCCAGCAAAGCTTTGCAGAGGGGAGAGGTGTG